GCCGCTGCCTGCAAGGTGGTCAGCGCCGCTGCCAGCGGCAGTGCCGAGGAGCTGCTCCAGCTGCAGCAAAACGATCAAATCGAGATCACGCGTCTGCCCTCGGCTGCCGGCGCCGCTGCCAGCAGCAGCTTGCAGGAGCTGCCCAACAGCAACAGCAACAACAGCAACAACAACAACAACACAAAGAGCAAACAGCAAAAATGCCCCGTCTGTCCATACATCTCGGAGAGTAAATCCCAAATGAACTATCACGTCTCACTGCACAAGCCCACGCAATACGAGTGCCGCCTGTGCACCTTTGTGTGCGCCAAGAAGCAGCATCTGAGCAGCCACATGCGTAGCGTGCATCAGCAGCAGCTGGGCGCAGCAGCGGCAGCCGCCGGCGCTGGCCTAGACTTTAGCGTGGCGCTGCAATTGGCTGCGGCCAAACAGGTGCAGCAGCTGCCCACAGCTGCCACAACGCCGCTGGCCATCGACCTGAGCCAGCTGCAGCTGGAGGAGAGCAGCAATGTCGAGCTGCCGGTGCAGCAGCAGCTGCCGCCGGAATACCAATACAAGCTGATTAGCTACTGTCCGCGCTGTCCGGCCCGTTTCGCCCAGAAGCACAACGATGAGCGCAACGCCAAATTGGAGCTGGAGCAGCACTTGGCCGCCCACGCGCCCAGCGAGCTGGAGTCGGATGAGGTGCATGTGTGCGCCTACTGTGAGTATCGTGCCGGTGCCGAGACACTGCTGCAGCTGCATCGTGCCGTGCACATGTCGCACTACCAGGAGAAGTGCCAGCAGCTGTATAGAAATTGCAAAGAGGATGTCGCATATCCGGCGCCCAAGCTGCTGCAAATAACTGGACCCGAAACCATTTGGGTTGTGGACAATGAGCTGGGCGCACAGCTGCTGCGCCAGAGCGCAATCAGTTCCTCCAGCAACAGCTACGATGGCCAGAACTCGCTCTTAAAGAAGCAGCTGGAGTCGGGCGGTGTTGGTGCTTTGATTCGCGAACAGACGCCACCCAAGGCCAAGGAGGCCGAGGAGGATGACGAGCGTCACAGCAGCTCAACACCCTCGACCAGCGCCTCGGTGGCCACCAGCGATTTGGCCGCAGATGCCAGCAGCGATGCGGGATCGCTGGACATGCCGCAGTCGGCGCCAACGCCACAGCGCTGCCAGCACTGTCCGTTTGAGACGTTGCAGCACGAGCAGCTGGCGGAGCATCTGCAGAAACATGCCTGCATCAATCAGCCCAGCCCGGAGGCGCAGCAGTGTGCCCATTGCGACTACAATGCCGTCGAGGAGGCCGAACTGGAGGAGCACACCGCTGTGCACTTCAATGCCAGCGAGAAGCTTAAGTCTGTGGACTTTTACACCTGCTACGACAAGCTAGAGATAAGTGTGGAACAGGAACCGGAGCCCTACGAGCAGAACGACAAGGAGCAGACGGAGCACAACAATAACCAGGACAATGTCGTCAATGCCAATGTACAGCAACAGCTGCAGGACGATGCCGAAACGGAGCAGCTGCACCAGGAGCCAATCAAGAAGCCCAGCACCAAGCTCATACTCTACAAGAACGATGGCGCACTCAGCGTTAAGCCTTCCATGGAGGAGGACAACGCCACGTCGACGACGACAACGCAGCGCGCTGAGAATATCAGCGATCGCTTGAGGCGTCGCAGCTTGCGTGGCGGCGCCTCCGCTGCCATCACGTCCACCACAGCAACACCACCAACAACAACAACATCAGCTGCAGCTGCAGCAGCGCCGGGCGGCATCATGGAGGCAACTGATAAAATGATACTGGTCAATGCCAAGACGGGCAAAGTCATTTTCCGAAAGTAGGCGTGGCCCGAGCCACAGCTGCAACGCAAACCTTTCTTTCACTATTGTATTTTACATAGGAGCATATAATTAACTTTATTATTATTATTATCATTATTATTATTATTATTATTATTATTATTATTATTATTATTTTGGGGTTGTTAATGTTTTGTTGTTTTCAATTGGGTATCTAGTTAGTCGAGTTTTGTTTTAAGCACCAATTATTATTTAATTGTTACTAACAAAAAAACAGACACACACACAGACAGAGTTGACACCGTTGGAACATGTTCCTGCACCTTGAATCATATTTATAAGTTGTTTATTAACAAAACTTATTTGTTTATATAGAAAACAAAAAAAAAAAACATATTAGCAATGCGTAAATATGTTAATTATATTTTGTTATGCCTAAAACCTTAGCGCGGTGCAAAATATAAATATAACTAAAAACGAATCAAAACTTAAATATTTAAATCGTACGATCAAAAGCATAAACAAAAGCGTTTCAAAGAAATCCAAACTTGTGCATGACAAAATCAAAAAAAAAAAAAAAAAACTAAAAACAAGCAAATTCAAAATTAATCTTGCTGCAAACAATTTGTTTTTGAATGGGAACTGTGATTATTGAATATTGTAAATTAACAAAAAAAAAAAGAAAAAAAACTCTAAATTTAATATAACAAAAGAATAATAATAATAAATAAACGCGTATATCATTCAATGAATATGGTACTTTATACATAGTATATACATATTTACAACAGCTGCTATGAAACACACAAAAATTTCAAAATGAGAAATCAAATATGAAAATCTATGGAAAAAAAACTGTGTAATAATTTGCAATATTTGCAATATGATTTTTTTTCGACAACTGCAGCAGAACATTAAATAAGTACTATATAAGTAATTAATTTCTATTTAATGTTTAAAGTTTAAAATGGTTTTGTTTAACTATACATCATTATTGTTTATTGTAGCACAGTGTATCTTGTGCAAACACTATAAAAAGAAAAAAAAAAAAAGAAGAAACAAAAAAGTCGAAAAAACGTTATCATAAAGTCTAAGCAAACGAAATGAACACATGTGGAATAGCGGGGCCATATTTAAATAGTTTAAAGCAAACATTTAAACAAACAAAAAAACAAAAAAAAAAAAAACAAAACAAAAAACAGTAACAGAAGAGTATACAGAAACTTACTTGAATATAAACGCAACCGCCTTTGATATACATATACATAAATGTATCTATATCTATATATTTAAATAGTATTTAATTATAAAATACGTCTAATTAGTCTAGTGTAAATAACTTAGTTTTGTTTACTATGCACATACATATACATATAAAGCCACACACATACACAGCCAACACAAATACACACATTTACGGCATAAATTTAAACAAAGAAAATGTACAAAAGAATTGTTAATAAAAAAAAAATCAAAAATAATAATAAAACACAAGTTGCATTTACAAATTTTACAGCTTATCCCTTGACTTATTTCAAAACCGCAAAAATTGCCAAGAAACTATTCAAAATTGGCCCAAATTGCATTTGATGAAATAAATATATAGATATATTTATATATATATACAGTAAATATAAAAATGAAACCTTTAACGATTAGACAAGACACGAAATGGAAATGGGTTTATTTTCAATAAGAACTACTGTAATAAAATGTGATCAAATGTGGTCAAAACGTTTGCCTAGTAACCGCTGGCATAATATTAGTAACTAATTTTAAATGATTTACGGCATTAAAGCTTAGCACATTTTTACTTAAATAGAATTATTAAATGATAACAAATATTTAAATAATAGCGTATTTCTTTTGTACTTATTTGCATTCTTTTCGAATATGTTTGCAAATTTCCAACACTAGAAATTCAGTTGGTACTTTTGTAATAATACAGGGAATTGCTGTAATTCCCTGGAACAGAAATGGGCAGCACTGGCTGCTTGGCATTAACTATTTTGCAGTTAAAGTATATATTGGATATACAGCAGGCCTTCAGATAATCTCGGTTGGCCATGCAACGAAATCTAAAATTTCTATCACACCTTGAAACCACAAATAAGTTAAAAATTCATTCCGTTTTTGTTCTTCGTAGTGTGCACAACATCAAGCTTTGCTGCCAAAATTCTAAATCTTTTTTTGGATGTCGTTCAATTCTAGTTTTAAATTTCAAGTAAAGCGACCATCAGGTATCAACAAAAAGAAAGTGTATTAAACTATTTTTTCTTTCAAATAGAACTAGCTTAGATACGAGTCTGGCGCAAGTGCAGCACTCGGGGTACAAAGCCGGAAACAGATTAAAATTCTCGAAATCTATTCCTGTGGCCAATCCTCGCCTCTTTCCGTAAGCGCCCAACATGTGCTGGCATCCAGGTGGCTGTTGCGGCATACCCGCGGGCATCCAGTGCACAAACTTTTGTTTCAACTACTGGACAGGCTGCGCAACCACTCCCTGCTGCCGGATCAGCTGCTCGCCTTGCTGCCCGCCGTATCGCGGCTGCTGTGGCGGTCCACGCTGCGGGTCATGCTAGGATAGCAACTAGCTTAGAAGGAAATGAGGCTGACGCGCCACGGAATAACACCAACAGCCCAAATTCTACCCATTTGTATGTAATTAATAGTATCGAATAAAAGCTGCAAGTTTATGTTTGTAAAAAATGGTGGATTTTTTTTAAAAAAAAATGCGATTTAATAAACATAAAACAAATTGAAATGGTTCTTAGCGAAGCCAGTTTAAAAATAACGCCAGATAACGATAAGGCACCCGGTCTGGCAAAACCTCATCGTTAATAGGCTTCGATGGGGCCGAAAGAGACAAAGCACATTAATTGGGATACAATTAAATGGGCGTTGCTGATAAGAAACCTTAGGTGCACACAATTCCAACCAGAATTTGCATAACATGATCGTTCATAGAAAATCATTTGCCGCTATGTGCTCGAGTTATATCTATTCAGTAGATATTTAAATTCGTCTTTTTCGGACTAACCTAATGTTACAACGCATACAAGTAGGCTGTAAATTTGGCTTTAAGTCGTTTTTTAGCTGCACTGCATAAATATATATCGACTGTTTTTAAAATAACTTCCAAACAATTTGTATGAGCAGGTTGGCAGCGCCATCTGTTTTCTAATAGAATTAATCGATATGTTTATCGGAATGGCAATGCCAGATTTGCTCCTCAACTGATTTGTTTGCAGTAAAAATTTGTTAGGACGCGTTACACCTGCCGCACATGGATACGAAGTCCAATGATGACTCTGGTGGCAGCGACTCTCTGGACAAATCAATGCAGAGGAAGTGTGTAATGGTTGAGACAACCGGCGCAACGTCGGAGCCCGCCGCGGAGGCAGATGACTGCAGCAGGGAATCCGCTGCACTGCGAGAGTCGCCACCAGGTGAACCAAAGACTGATGCGTCCGGCGCTGGGACAAGCATTGGTGAAAGTTCAACGGCGCACAAAGGCATTAACACAACAGCAGCAAGTGCTGCGTTCGAGTCGAAAGTTAAACTCATTTCCCAAAACCTCAAAGAGACAACGCTCGCTGAGACGGAGACGGAGGCGTCAACGTCAAACTCATCGACCGACATCGCTGACTGTGTGACAGATGATGTTGTCGAAACGTTGCAGCAACATAGAACAGATAGCTGCGACCATCGTGTGAAAAAGGTGCGATTCCATCCAGACGTCAAAGAAAATGATGGCGGCAATCGTGTGAAAAAGAAAAGGCGCTCAGCGCGAACAAATACCGCCAATAAGATAAATATGAGCTGTGATGGCATGGATATGGACGATGAGGATGAATGCGACGATGACGCTGAGCCAGAGGAGGACGAGGAGGAGGAGGAATTCAATTTGGCCAAAACAATTGCCGAAGCGGAGGACTACTTAAAGCAGCATCCGCTGACATTTGTGAGGCGTGTCGAACAAAATGGCGAGCGGTTGCGTGATGGCCTGCTAAACATCGAGGATATGCCGCAGCTGGTGGAACGCGAGGTGAAAGCAGAGAAGAACAACGAAGATGATTTCTATAAAAAATGTAAGCCAGAGAACGGCATAGAGCGGGTATTGGGCAAGGAGACAAAGGCGGGCAAGGCAAGTATATACATTCATTGAAGGACATTTGCATTTGCTAACTAACTTAAAATCATTTCTAGGTGGAATTTCTGTTACGATACGAGAACCAAGGCGGCCTCTTTTGGGAGTCGGAGGACTACATCAGGCGCATGTGTCCGACGCTCTTGAAAGCTTATGAGAAAAACCGCGAGCGGAGGCAGCAGCGTCTAGTGAGTAGTTGCGCTTTGTTTTAGTCGAATTGGTGAAACTAAATTAATATCACATTTTAGATGCATCACGTTGCCAAACGCCAGAGCCTGCGCCAGCGATATACGGATTTCTAGTAACATAAATATATCTATATATATAGCTTTTAGGATTTTAATTAGGTTCCGCGAAGTAATTGTAACATTTTTGTAATATGGAGTAAATGATTTTCTTTTGTTGAACGAAACTGCCAAGTATCTCGCCATCATGAATTTGGATATATCGATATCGAAGATGCGCCAGCTATCGATTTAATTTGTAGACCAATTTCATGCAAGCTCATTATTTGGGTAGATAAATCGAATAACAAATTTGCTGTTTATATTCTGCTTTTGTGTTAATGATTTGTGTGGAAATTAGCCCACTGCATGGACGTTTGCCATTCAGCTGTTTACGTGGACATCTATTCTTATCGATAGTTGCTGTCGCTAATCGATATATCTATATGGCGATATAACATCAACAATCCTAGTTCTAGTTTGACGGACGCAGTGTCTAAAAATTAAAAGTAGAATTAAAAAAGCAGTGCAAACGTGTGCAAAATCTCGGCACACGCGCATCTTGCAACGTGTTTGTGATTGTGAGCCATAAATAGTTGAAATTCTGTAGAAACCTGTAAATATTGGCTTTGCGAGGCCACATAGGTGTTCTGCCAGAACAAAAGAGAAATTTTTGTGCGTGTCACCGTCCGTCATCCTCCACCCTCCTAAACGCCTTGCGTTGCGATCGGCAACGACACAAAACGGTAAACGTTGCTAGAGGCCCAACGAAATGCAATAGACTTTGCCCGCATTTCACAATTTTCATGAATTTCTCATTGTGACGGCAGGTGAAAGTGCCATTTCAGGTAAGCATTAAGTTATTGGACATTTTCAATCTATTCCGTGTACATTTATGTATATCTGTTTTTGTAGTGCGAGCTAGTCAGAAAATGCGCAGATAACATTTACATTGAAAAACATGGCCCCAGAATCGAAAACAAACAATTTTGACCAAAAATATTTAGGGTGCTCCTAGGATATACGTATATCTATCGATAAGTGTTAAAGATTTCTTGGAAAACTAACAACAGCTTATGAGTCAACCGCTCTTTGATTTTTTTAAGAAGCACCTCTTTGTTTACGTTCTTAATTATGGCTATTTTATTTAAATTTCAAGCGATTCACGCATCATATGTTAGGTTATGATATAAAGGCCGATTATCATATACATATATGTTTCGAATTTATCCCCGCAACAACAAATACGAGACAATGCAAACTATGTATTTGTCATGCAGTCCTTTTAAGTCTTTTGAATATATGCATAAATGATATTTTCGCCATGTCATTTTGTCAACAGAAAGCCCTTGTCAGTAGTGCCCAGCTGCTCGGCATATATAAAGATAAAATTGCGCAATCTACTCGGGGACCGTCTAACCAACCTTAATTTTGGGTTATAATAGGATAATCAAAAAAAAAAAAAAAAAAACATATTTAATTTGCACATCGATATGTTATCGATATACATGCTGTCTCTTGTTTTGATATCGTTTACTGCAGTCCACCTGCAGTTGTTCACCCCGCCTTCGCTGGTTGACAATCAGATAACGTCTGCTTTGCGCTGGGGCTCTAAAAATAGTCGCTGGCCGTGCTGTATAGTTGTGTTCGTTGCGGCTTTTGTCATAGGTCAGAAATGGACTAGTGCGTAGTTGATCTTAAGATCACAAAGAACAAATTAGCTGGCAGGTTCCGTCTGCAGTTGGATGCTGCGCAGCCAACGAATCATTGTCTTCTCGTGAACTTGACGTTGACCGCTGGACTTTTGTTTATTTGTTAAATGCGCGTGGCAATTCAGTCAGTCGCCCGTGTCACTCTCTCAATTACTGTTCGTACGCTCTCCCGATCTGACTCGCTGTCTCTCTCGTTTCATTGTTTGGTTCGTTAACCCGTGGAGCAGAAGAACTACGCATCAAGCAAACATACGGGAATTGCTAGAGTATAAACCCAACTGCTCAACTCAATAAGCGATATGCCGGAAGAGGAGCCAACACAAAAGCCCATGGACGAGCACCAAGAGCAGCCACAGGCCGAACAGATGCCCAGAGAAAGCGATGCTAATGCCGAGGAACAGCTGCCGCCGCTGCAGCTGCCGCCACATACCCCGTCTACAGACTTTGTTGTAACGGAGCTTTCCGCTGAAGAGGCAAGCATCTTTGTTAGCTAAAACAAATCTCATCTGCGTCTTGTCTAACGGTTGCCAAATTTTTGTTCTTTACAGATACGCGCCCGACGGCTGCGCACATTGGCGGCGCGCAGCAGCGCCCACATTCCCGCTGCCGCACCGTTGGCAACAGACAAACCAACTGCACGCATCCAAGCAAATACCCCAAGTGAATCGCGCTTGGTGCGCGAGGTGTGCGCAAGTTCGAGCAGCATGGAGGCGGGCTCATTGGGCGACAAAGCGACCATAACATGGTCAGATTTGGGCAGCAAGTCGGACATGGATGTGGAAATGAAATCGGTGGCATCAACGCCCATACAGGACATTGAAATGACGTCCGCACATTCCATCTGCGTGCCGAGCACCGTGCTGCTCAACTCAGAGCCCAAGACGCAGCCAATCGTATCTACTACGGAGTCACCGCGGCCTAAAAGCGCGGACGAGCGCAACGAACAGCTGTTGTCCAGGCTGCTGAATGCAACATGGAATGAATTCGGATGTGGTTCCATTATTTGTGCACAGACCGCCAGCTTTCTGGAGCAATATCCAGAACTGCGCTTTGAGTTTGAGCCCATTGTCACAAGTGTTCTGCTGGAGACGGCATTTAAGTTCTACAACGATGAGGTGGACGACAGCTTTAAAGTGGAGGGCGAGACACCACTTGCCACCGGTCTGAGTGACGCCAACGGTGATGACAAGGAATTCTCGTCGGCCAAAAAGATTAAGAGCGACGACACCGAGGTGCAGGAGATATTAGCTAATGCGGTGGCCTCCAGCGGAGCCGCTGAGGAGGATCAAGGTGCAAGCGCCAGCGCAACGCCCAGCCAGACCGACATAACACCCAGCGATGCATGTGTTCCCTGTGTGGTGCCGCCTCCCCTGAACATTGTGACAACCTCCAAGCACAATGCCATGCTCCATCTGCTGCGCTGCTATCAAAACTATCAAACCGAGTGCGAAAGATCCAGAGCCAATGAATCACCCAATCAGGCAGTTGATCACAGCACGCAGCAGGTTTTGGCTCTGGCCTTTAGAAACATAATGCGTGTCGCTGTGCTGGTCCTAACAGATCGCATACAACAGAACCTCAACTATCAACTGGATCAGTCTACGTTGCTGGAGCTGATTTACATGGATCGTGTTAGCGAGTCATTCCTCATCGATCTGGTGGCCGAAACGCATCAACAGCGCGAAGTCTTCGACACCATATTCGGGCAATTGTTGCGCGGTCTGTTCAGTGGCATGCAGCGAAATATTTGCAGCTCGAAGATCAATACACAACAAATCGAATGGCTGTCCAAGTTGGTGGTCATTAAAGTGGGCAATGTGCGTCCAATTGCCGATCTGGTTGCCCGCCAACCCAACTATATACCGCCCATATGCACCAAGATACCGGGTCGAGAAATTGTCAAATGCAGTTTTCTAGGTCCCTTTCTGTCGGTCTCACTATTCGCCGAGGAGAATGTAAAGTTTGCTGAGTTCAGCACCAAAAACAAGCTCGAGGATGCAGCCACATCGCGACTACGTTGGGTAAGCAACTTGCGCTCAATCTCCAAAGAATAGCAGCTCACTTTATTTTTGTTTGTTATTTATCCCATTCACTTAGGAGCTCCACTCGATGCGCACTCACATGCATACGGTTTTCCACTCGCTGTGCGTCAACGCCAGCAGTCGCCCACAGACGCTGGAGTACATTGCCCAAATTCTGCGACACAATGATCGTCGCGTGCAATTTGCCAGCGATGAAAAGCTGCTCGCTCGCGATGGCTTTGTTATAAATCTGATGAGCGTGCTGCAGCAGCTGTCGGTCAAGATAAAACTGGATCGTATCGATGCCAATTTCCACTACTACAGCAATTCGCTAGTTAACATTGAACAGGACACGAAGATCCGTTACAGCGAGGAGGAGTACAAGAGCTTTTTGGCTCGTGATTTCTCAGCTCCAGCGCAGAATGTCAATTTCCAAACGCAGTGCTGGTTCCTCACGCTGCAGGCTCATCACCTGGGCTATCTGCCGGCCATTCAGCGCTATCGTCAAAAGGTGCGCGCCATCAAGGAACTGCAGAAACTAATTGACGAACTGGATCGCACAAAGCCGCATTGGGTCAACTCACGCTATGCCAATCGCAACAATCAGTTCAAGGAGCGATGGGAGAAGCAACTGCGCAAACTGAATCGGTACGAAACACAGACCCAAACCCCAAACTGTAGAGCTTTAATAACTCCATCCGCAATGTTAGAAAATGTAAAGGGGATTATAATTTTAAACGAAATGTGTAACACACAGAAGAAGAACCCAATTATAATTTATAGTATATTTCTGTTCATTATCAACAGCCAAGTCAATATAGCCATGTTTCTGTCCAAAGTAGTCTGAGTATTAAAACTATAGCCAAGAAACCAGATCGCACCACAATATCATGAGGAACAGTCACAAATTCGAGTATAAGTTATTTTCACAGTTCTCCAATCAACATGGGACTGCTTAATCATATAGAAGAATCGGAAACACTTTTTAGCCATATATACGAAAGGGTATTAATAATTCGGCGTGCCGAATCAATCAATTGCATATATGAGCAACAGTTTTAAATAGGTAAATAATATGTTCAATGAAATATTTATAATTTGTGGCTGTGATTAATTCAATCGGATTTCTTAGAAGCGGACAGACGTGTTTGTACTTACCCCCAATTGCTCTCCCTGCAGTACTTCCTAATATTCAACTGGTTCTCGTTCCATTTTTGTTAACAGCTCCAAGACATGCAGTGAGATAACGCTCCTTGATCCTGCGCTGCTGCAGCGCTGCACTGAGTTTTATTCGACGGTGTGCGAGTTTATGCTTTATCAATTCGAAGGACGTGCAATTGAAGGTCCCTTCATTTCGAAGCTGCAGGTGCAGCAGCTAAAACCGACTGATGCATTTTCTGCACTGCCCGAGTGGTATATCGATGACATCGCCGAGTTCATATTGTTTGCCATGCAGCACGCCAATGTGGACATCAGGCAGGGCATCGATCATTCGATCATCACATGGCTATTGACCTGCGTGTGCGCCTCGCATCTCATCAAGAATCCCTATGTAACTGCCAAACTGGTTGA